TTAGTTTAAGTCTCTTCTTCATCTGTAAAGTGATTGTCAGAGACATCAACCAATCCAGCATAGAATAGAGTTGGTACTAGTAAACAATAATATTCCAGATAGTGGATTGTGATTTCGATGAAATCTCTATCTATAAAAGGCAGGATGTGTGTGTGTGTGTGTGGGGGGGTTAACGAATGCAATTTTCGACGGATTTGCACCAAAATTTACATGCACATGCTCCAAGTTAGAGCAAAAGTCAAGACTGACGTTGCATTTCCCAACTCCCATCGATAGTGGAAATAATCGATTTTTTCATGCTTCTACGGCAGTTTTCATGCAGTTTGTGGCCATTTTCTACTGGCCAGAGTGAGAGCCTATAGCTGGCTGCCACGAATAGGCAGAAAGATTCTATTGGCCAGCGTGAGAGCCAACAGCTGACTGACACGAATGTTAACTAGCATGCAAAAAAAAAATTGATAGCTGCATTCGTCACAAGTGGGAAAATTTTAAATCTGCATGGTACTTTACTCTAATTGGCTCATTCGCTTGCTTAATCTCAACGTTGATTCTGATTCCGCAGAACTGGCTTGGGTGCGAAAAAGTATTTGTTGTTAACGTTCTTTTTTCATTCGGTTTTTCCAGTTACGAGTCCTTTTTTTTAAACTGATCGTTTTGTGTTCGTTTTGTTTAGTTCTTTTTTTTTTTTAATGTTTAATATAGAGCTTAGAAAAAAAATCGCAGTGTGAGATAGGCAAAAGTAAGGCATGTAGCAACATCAGCACGGAAAATGGCACTCCTTTAAAGGCAAGGAAGGACAAAATATTTTAAGTCAAGTCATAAAGATTGCTGTATGAGTCATATTTTTGAATCAACCATGGACAACGCCGGGCCATGCTGCTAGTATATTCTATGAGGAAAGTCATATATATATATATATATATATATGAATAAATATGGTTTTAAGGTGTGCTATATTTATAGGATAAAGTACTCAATATCAGAGATAGGGTGTATGTAAATATAAAGTGAACATTGAAGTCAAAACTAAGAGGCGACAGTCTGTTTCATGCTAAACGCAATCATGATTGCGTTTATCATGAAAAGAGTCTGATGTTGACTTCAATGTTCACCTTATATATATATATATATATATATATATATATATATATATATATATATATATCAATTTAAGACATTTTATGTTTATACATAAATTAAATTAATTGTCGGATTTTGTCCATTTCATAATACATACACACACACACACGCATATATATATATATATATATATATATATATATATATATATATATTTGATGATTGTGTATATAGGCAAGAATCCTTCATTTATGCATACTACATTAAAAACGACAGACAAGGTACTACGGTTAAGGTTTTATTTATTTTTTCTTGTGCACGAGAGCTTTCTTTTTTGGACACAGAGTGTGTAGAAACTGTCAAAATGTTCTATAGTTCCGTGTGCTATCGGCTATACTTTTAGCCATTATCAAGGATGATATACACTACTCCAATTGACCCGAATAAAAAAAATAAAATTAATTATCTACTATAAAAGATTTAAGACAGCTAACCTTATCCTCAAAAATAACAACACACCCACTAATTCAAAATTACAACGAACGAACATTATCTATGAGTTCAAATTGCCATAAGGAACTCTTTTCCTGATCAAACCGAACTCATAAATATTAACATTGGTCACACAACTACATGCCTATCCAGACGCCTTACCTTACACCTATCTGACCAGAGCTCCATTAGAACCCATTTAAGCACACACACACACATCTACCAGACTCCATTCGAAACATACTAGTAGAAAACAGAAACATAATAACCTTGTAAAAAATAAAGATTAAAAATAATGGAAGCCCTAATAATAAAAAGAAAAAGCCAACTCTTAATAATATTAACTACGAACAAGGCCACAATGTGCTAACCGTGTCCTGAAAATAAAACACCTCTATAACACACTAAAAGCATACACATAAGGCACACACTCAATTAAACTGAAAAATAAAATCATCCTTGATAATGGCTAAAAGTATATATATATATATATATATATATATATATATAGAGAGAGAGAGAGAGAGATAAGTTTACCTAGATCTGCTCTACGGTTGCATTGAGCTCTTTTTAGTTAGTTGTTTATTCGTGTCGGGATTTTTCTTTGGGCTTTAAACCTGTATCTGTGCGATTTTTTCGACAGAGTTTCATGTTTCTAGCTCTTTCTTTTTTTTAAAACCTTTTTTCCCTCGAGATTGATTTGCTTATTGGCAAATCAAAAATTTGAAGGTTTTTCGAAATGTGTATAGTTACCTATATTTGTATATATATATATATAGGCTATTGGGGTAGCAGATCATTATTCAAACAATATTGTTAAATATAACAAACAATGAATGTTTATGATCATGAGCCGTTCTAAGCTTCGTATAGTTGCTTTCATTTAATTTCTGACGATGACTCATGTGTGCCGAAATCATTGATTGAGGAACTGCATAATAAAAAAATATCCAAATGTAGGACAGTTATTGTCTTTATTTTCTCCTGAAATTAAAGCAAGTATACGATTGTTTGTACAGATCTATTCTTGTTAACCCATTGCTTTTTGCGTTGAACTTTGACGTATTCAATCCATTTATTTTCATATTTAAGTAACGGTTTCTTTAAATTTGTACATTACAACTGGTTCCCTAAAACGGAAATTGCGTATGAATCAACGCTATGGTTTAAATAATAACAATACATTGTTTCTAAATTATTATTTAGTTAAGAAAATCTCAAAATGTGGAGCACAGCTGTAGTATTGTGCACATGAGTAACGACCACACTGTATTAAATTATAGGTCTACGTGAAAGATATGTTGTAAAGTTAGCGGCTAAATGACAAAAATACCACTCAAGCGGAATTGACAAAGTTTGTCATAAACAATAACAAAAAGAAAGAAAAGAAATTGTCATGGTAAAAGGCATTCTTGTCCCAATGATCCCAAGATTGAAGCCGTCCGGAATTCAAAAACCTGTACGGACACTTTTGTCGGCAAAGTCGAAGAGTAAGCATTAGTCTGAACGCGACCAATCCCCGAAGACCCCCAACGGCGGAACAAGCAAAAATCTCAAAGGCCAAACCGGTGGAAGAGGGCAGCACCAGTCGGACTAGTGTGGAAGCCACTCCGTAATCTGAATGTCAATTCAAAGATCATGAATAGAAGCAATGGAGAGCCATGATCGGCTTCCTCCTGAAGAAATATGGCATTAAAAAAATTTTAAGTCATCACTTAAACATGGAAAAACTGTACCAGTGTCCCCCCCACTATCACCAATGGATCAATTATAATATGATGAGTACAGTCATAAAATGAAAATATATATAAATGGGCTTACGGCGATATCAGGTTGAAACACCAGTACCCCACCCCCCGTACCGAAGTTAAGCAACATCAAGCCTGGTCAGTACCTAGATGGGTGGCCGCTTGAAAATACCAGGGGCTGTAAGCTTGGATGTGCGGGTGGTGTAATGGATAATGGTTCGCAATTGTTAACCGGGCTCGTTATATTCACGTACGCGCAAAGACTCTTGGGAAAAAGGTATGAATCCACCATTTCTGCTCCCAACTTAATTAGTAAGACATTTATCACTAAGTCGTAGAAGACGAATCAATCAAGTATTAGCAACAAACGAAAATGCCTTTCAGTAGAAAAAAAAAAGATTTTCGGAAAATTCAATAAAACCCAGACGGATCTTTTAAGCTGCGTTCAAAAAACCCCAATCCAAACAGGCTCTAGCAGGTGGATCTCTTTAATACGAGACAAATTAATAAGAAAAGCAGATTTGCTATCAGTCAAAAATGCCCATACAAAATTTATTAGCTTGTTTCTTTTTTCTTTACGGCTCTTTTTCATAGTATTGTATGATTTGCTGAACGGCACTGCGGTCAAACGGTATCTAAATTATGTCGAAGTAACATCGCTGCCATAGCCACTCAGTCATAACTGCACTACTTTTTAACCGATTAGGCCAGCTATACGTCATCCGGTTTAGTCCCTTTCTATAAATGAGGACGGATAACACCCTCCCAGATACTGTTATTTTATTTTATTTCATTTTTTTTTCTTTTTGCCAATTCCGTTTATACGTGTAAAACTCGACTCTCCTTTAAACAAACTAATTGAATAAATAAGATGTTTTTAAGCAAAGTGAAAAAAAATGATGAGTAGTCAATATGAAAAAAGCTATTTTTTATGTAGTTTAATAAGTAGAAATACAAAACAAGAGACTGAAAAATAAATATAAGAAAATAAAAATGGGAACAACAAATATTACTTTATAAATATTTTTGCCAATGTTTTTTTTTGTTTGAAAAAAAAAAGCATTTTCCAACCTAAACTGTCTGTGAAAAGAAAAACAATAGGAAAATGTATTAAAATCAAACAAATAACAAGAAAAATGAGCAAAGATAAAATTAAATTTGATTATCTAATATGTTTAGAACGATAACAACTTTTGAAAGAAACGCAGTGAGAAAAACAATTTTAAAACAGAAAAACAAAATATATATCTGCACTGATGTAAAATCTTGATAAGCTAATTAAGCTAATCGCGAGTAAACAAATGCAGTTTCATGAATAATTAAGAACGACTTTTCGTGACAAAGTTACGTCGATGAGCGAAAAGACAGCAAGAAGTAAAAAAATAATAATAATAATAAAAATAAAAGGGCGATTTGGAAAAAGAGACGGAGTTACACGAATTCTGGACAGCCACTTCCGGTCTGAAAATACAAGACATCTCTTTATATGACTTTAGCGCACAAATACAAGAACTCGTCACTTTTGTTCTTTTCTTTTTTTGGGGTGGGGGGGGGTGAGGGATTATTTTTTATCAAAGTTTTAAATGTTTCTTTCATAATTATGTAATTGTAGCATGTACCTCACCTCAGAAAAGTCAGCTGCAGAGCTGACCTAAACTAACATCCTAGCTGTTGCGAGACTTACGGTCATATCACGTTGATACACCAGTTCCCGTAGGTTCACCGAAGTTAAGCAACGTCCAGCCTGGTCAGTATCTAGATGGAAGACAGCTTGGGAATAGAAAACTGCCGACACACACACACACACACACACACACATATATATATATATTAAGACATTTTTTATGTTTATACATGTCTTAAAATAAATTGTCGGACTTTGTCCATTTCACTATATATATATATATATATATATATATATATATATATATATATATATATTGAATTCTACATGGATTCTATCCTCTTGTAAATATATATATATATATATATATATATATAACATTGAATTCAACCTGATTCTATCCTCTTGAAATATATATATATATATATATATATATATATATATATATATATATATTGACCACTAATATTATCAATACATACATAGAATTACTGGTTATATATATTGACCACTAATATTATCAATACATATATATATATATATATATATATATATATATATATATATATATATATTGAATTCTACATGGATTCTATCCTCTTGAAATATATATATATATATATATATATATATATATATATATATTGACCACTAATATTATCAATACACACACACACACACACACACACACATATATATATATATATATATATATATATATATATATATATATATATATAACATTGAATTCTACCTGGATTCTATCCTCTTGAAATATATATATATATATATATATATATATATTGACCACTAATATTATCAATACATATATATATATATATATATATATATATATATATATATATATTGAATTCTACCTGGATTCTATCCCCTTGGCTCAAACACTAATATTCCATGGTTATTTGTTTAAACGTTATTTTAAATGGATGCACAGAATGGTAGATACAAATAAATACATATACTGTAAACAGAGCATCTTCTACGCGAGGTTTATTTGACTAAATTAGATGTTTTTAAATTGTTGAAATTAGAGTTGGATTCTGTTCAACATGGCGTCATTTTAAACGGTTAAACCGAATATCATATATCGAATATCTATATTGTAATTGCATCTAGAATTTTGAAAATTCTTTGTAGTGATTCCTGTATAGTATTTTGTTGTTATCTATTATTTGATTGTCTAATTTAGTCAAATAAACCTCGCGTAGAAGATGCTCTGTTTACAATATATGTATTTATTTGTATCTACCATTCTGTGTATCCATTTGAAATAACGTTTAAACAAATATTTTATAAGTATGTTGGATTTAATCCATTTCGTAAAAGATTGTCTTCGTTTATGCTAGGATAAGAAACAGAGATGTATATTTTGAGAATCAGCAAGATATGCGTTCAAAAGCAATATCCGAGCTCTGTTTGATCAGAAGGACGCAAGTTCGAATCCTGTCGGAGGGCGCATATTTTTCTGACAAGATTTCTTGAATATTCAGGCCGGTAGATGTAAATAAATAAATAGTGTCATTAAATCGCCATTACTATCATGAAAATTGTGCAGATGACACGCATACTATACCTAGTCATCTTAATGGCCGCCTGAGTTAAACGACGCTTCGGTCAGTGTTTACATTCAGTGTATCAGCTGTTGGACGCGATGTTTGCCGTAGCGTTAATAAAATACCAAATTTGTGTTACTATTTTACTATTTAATATTAATTTCTGTGTTAATATGCCAAATATGTTCACTACAGACAGGTTTTAGTGTGATATATTAGTGGAATCTTGCTGGAGGTCCGGTAAGTGGTTTACAGTAATTAGTAGAAAAGCTGCCCCACTTGGTTTCAGCACGGTTTACATTTTATACCCAACATATAAGTCGACCCCTAGTTTTGGAAAGTTTTGTTGGCTTGAAATATCAACTTGTACGCCGCAGTTTACGGTAATTATGATATATTTTCCATAAATATTCGAACCGTTGAACTAAATCAATGACGCTCTTTTCGTTTCGACCATTTCTAATAATATTTTCTATAACCTTCAGTCTGCTTTCTACGTCTAACTGCTGCCATTTTCGGCCATCCTCAAATCGTTCCGCTTCAATATTCCCATTTTTTAAAAGTACTTTTTTTTAGAATACTGCTACTTATCATATGTAATGCCATACGTCGTTGTCTGGATGTCCGCCTGAGTTAAACGGCGCTTCGGTCAGTGTTTACACTTAGTGTAACAGCGGCCGGACGCGATGTGTGATGTAGAGTTAATAGAATACCAGGTTTATGTTACTATTTTATTATTTCATATTCATTTCTGTGTTAATATGCCAAATATATTCGCCAAACACAAGTTTTAACGGTAGCCTGCTGAAGGTAAGATAAGTGATGTACAGTAATGGTTAGGAATGTTGTCCCACTTGTTTACAACGCGGTGGCAAAGATTCGCATTTTATATCCGCCATATAAGTCGATCTCTAGTTTTGAAAATCATGTGTTAAGCTTGAAAAATCGACTTCTAGACTGGAATATACGGTATTTTTTAATCGAATTCGCCCCATGTAAGGCAGTAACGGCACTAAGACACAAGTGAGTGAAAAAAAAACGGAAGCATTATTTAGGTGCGAGAACAATAGAAGAGTAATCAAGAAGACAGTAGGTAAAAATTGACATTGCATTTAAATCTTTGAAGATCAAACGTGTCTGAAAAGCAAGCAAGAAGTGCGAGAAAATAAACTCTATAGAATAGAACTTCCGGTTAAATCGAGCCAATTCAACTGTACATTGATGAAACCTTGTTTCTAATCTAGTACTGCGCTTAAATTCATACAGTCTAGATACCATAGCAAAGAGCGATATTAATTTGTACAATGATACAAAATGTGGCACAAGGCAAAAAAAAAATGAGGAATGGGGAAAAAGACAGTCTTCCCCTGTCTTAACTTTAAACTTAGCTAGCTACAAACACTGACCCAAACATACCACAATATTCCTAACACGAAAACAACACATTCTTACCTTTCTTACTACAACCACCATAATACCTCTTTGTCTCTATGAAAATCCTAGCTAGTCCCCATATTTACAATTTATTGTCTGTGTGGGGAGGGGAATAAAACAGCAATTTTAAAACTATTATAGCAAAGAGCTATATTTATTCTGTTTTATACAGAAATGTGGCACAAGGCCGAAGGGGGGAGCGGGGAAATGACGGTCTTCTTCTGTCTCAACTATAACTTCGCAAGCCGCAAACACTGACGAACAATATTCCTTACACCAAAACAACACATTCATACGTACCTTTCTTACTACAACCACCATAATACCTCTTTGTCTATATGAAAATACTAACTAGTCGCCATATTTACAATTTATTGTCTGTGTGGGGAGGGGAATAAAACAACAATTTTAAAACTATCATAGCAAAGAGCTCGTCTGAACAATTGCCAAGAAAATATTTATAGAAAAGTCACATGGAAGCAACATTACAACGGTGGGGAAGTGACTGAAGCTGAGATACCAGGACAGGACCTATAATATTGCTGATTCCTCTTTGGATTTTTATCAAGAATCTCTAAATATATAGCAGGAACACCGGGTCATATGTGGCAAAAATATTCTAAGCATGGATATTATATATATTATAGATATGCAAGGCAGATTCAAGAGAGAAAAATTATCTAGCACGATACAGGGAGCCAACTTAGCAGCTGACCTAGCAATGGATTCAATATAGTCTTTCCACTTCATGTCAGCCGGAGACGGGATGTCTCAACTAGTCACTCTTCTGGTGGTTAGCATCAGTCATGATGATGGAAGGCAGGTATATAAATAAAATTAATTAAAGTTACCATTATCTTATTACTGGGTTTACGCATCTACGACCTAATTAGCTTGAATAATTTCGATAATGAATGAACTACATGTCATTCATGGTGACGGTCGTATTAGTTGATTAGAAAGTAAGGAAAAGAGACCACTTAATACAACTGGATTGATTAAACGTTTGCTTCTGTAAGACAAGCTGTATTGTTCCTCTTTCAGGCGATCAGTCGGAAGGACAGGATCTAATAAGCAATTTCTGCAAATAATATGTGGACTCTATCTACAACCCTCACCTCAGCCCGTAGTCCAATTGTCAGGATGGATATGACGAATAATAATAATAATAATAATTTTGGTCAGATAACAAAATAGATCGGAAGTTTGCTTCTCATATAGGGTTTTATTCAATCAACCAATAAATATGCAAAGGGTATTTGAAAAGTACTCGGCCCGACCTATTTAAAAAAATCTGAACAAACCGAAACTTTGCTTTTTAGTCAGTCCGGAAGTTTTTCAATGCCCATTCGTATACAAAAATTAACCCCCTCCACACATACACACCGAAGGAATAGCCCCCACCTCGGTTTCATGGCTATTTTTTTTATTCTGGTTAACAAAAAATCTCCCCGAAGCTTCTTACTGCCATATAATGTCGAAACGCCGGTTTTCATACGATTCACCGAAGTTAAGCAACGTCGAGCCTGGCCAGTATCTAAATGAGTAACCGCTTAGGAATACCAAGCGCTGTAAGGTTGGATGTGCCTATGGTGTGATGTATAACGGCTCGGAATTGGATATCGGAGCTCCGAGTTCCAATTTCAGTTGATTTATATATATATTCACCGACTCTCAGCACCCCCCGGGGGGTGGGTGAATTCACATTTTCGGCCCACCAGCTATGGTTTAATTAGTAGGACTTGTGTGTAATTTCTAAGACATTATTTCTTATTACTGCAAATGTTATATTTAGTGGATGCCCGTGTTTAAGTAAAGACCCCTGATTTGTAACCTGTAAATTTAAGTCTACCGGCCTGTGCATTTTTTAATGAAGAAAATGTACTTTCCGGCAGGCTTATCAGGAGTACGCAAGTTCGAACGCTGTCAGAAGTCATATATTCGTTACTGAGACTCTCGAAAGCACAGGACGGTTGACGTAAGTTTATACTTTTTTTAAAAAAAAAAAGGAACGTCTACTTAAATACGCATGGCCCCTAAATATGAATAAATATAGTCTTAAGATGTGCTATATTTATGGGATAAAGTGCTCAATATCAGAGATAGAGTGTGTGTAAATATAAAAGTGAACATAGAAGTCAACACTTAGAGACGACAGTCTGTTTCATGCTAGTTGCAATCGTCAGGCCAACACTTCCCCTCATGGCCTGACGATTGCATCTAGCATGAAACAGCCTGTCGCCTTTTAAGTGTTGACTTCTATGTTAGCCTCTAAATATAATGTTTGAAATAATATCCAACCTTGGATTTGCACTGGGTAATAACCATCACAAATTAATTTTTATCAACAGCTTATCTACGTTCTTATTTTGATGGCAATTGGACTTGCAGCCACATCACGTTGAAATACCGGTTCCCGTACGATCACAGATGTTAAGCAACGCCCAACCTGGTCAGTACCTCGATGGGTGACCGCTGGAGAATACCAGGTACTGTAAGCTTGGTGGTGTAATAGATAATGGCTCAGAATTGTTAATCGGAGAGCCGGATACCAATTCCCTTTAGGTTCCTTATATTCGCTTTTACGCGAATCACCTCGGGGAAAGGTATTAATCCACCTCTTCTCCCTCCAGCTATGGGTTAATTAATGAGACTTTTATCACTAAACCATCGTTATCTCCATAAATTCTTACGATCTAAAATATTTTCTGCCTTTAAATAACCTGCAAAAAGTTAATAAGCCATAGAAAACGAATCAATCAATCATGGTAAGTTTTCTGATGAGCTTTCCTTTTTAGTACCTTTACTTCAAGAATTCAAGCGTAGTACTAGATTGGCAGTTAGGTCTCATTATTTTAATGCTGGAATTGTTATATGTAGACGTAAGTTCTATTCTAATAGTTTCTTCTCTGGCAATTTTCGCCTATGGAACTCTCTTCCAGATTCTTGCTTTCCTGTCAACTACAATCTACAAAATTGTAAATGCAACGTCAATCATCGTCTTTATATACCCTTGAACCCCGTTCCTTTCTTCTGACTTTCTCAATTTCTTTCACTGTATTGCTTTTCATCATCAGTAACACTTTGCGTCTTAGTGGCTTTTTCTCCTTGCTTGAAGTGAAATGATTTTAAAAGACGACACCTTTCACTGTTTTTTTTTTTTTATCTCTGTCACCATATTAACTACAGTCTATTTTACGCGCCCAGTCGAAATAACTTTCTAGCCACCTGCTGGGTTTCATCAGGTATAACTACTCAAACAATTGCACCTGATGTGTTTGGTATCTACTCTTTCTGCTTTTGCTTTTGTTTCCTCTTCTTGCATCTTCCATTGATGATTATCCAAGACGTATTTTACGCCACTGTTACTACTGACTCTTTTCCTCATAAAATTATGTCTCTTGTCAGTCACAGTTTTCATTCCTTAATCTTCACCAAACTCTTCGAAAAGAAATATAATTGCTATTTAAACAATCTATAACTTGCCCATCCTGCTATTCTGTGGCTTTGTTTTTATTGTTCTCACAGCAACGCTGTCTAATCTTACCTCTGCTTTTCTTGTCGATAGTTGCTTTTCTTTTCTTTTGCTTTTTTTTTTAACGTGTCCTTTAATACTGTCGTTATTTTTTACCATTACAAATGTCAGCTTAACTTCTGTCCCACTGTCTTCATTCTCCATTCTTCTGTCTTCTTCCATTGTGACCCAAATGATCACAACCGCCATCTTTCTCATTGCTTCTTATCATGATGACCATCTTCGCTCATGTTATTTTTTATATCGCCATTTTGTTTTTGTTGTGTTTTTGTTTCCTTTATTTGTTTTGTTTTATTTTATTTGTTTTGCTTTATTCTTCTAATTTCATAACTCTAAAATATTATATCGAACACAGTTGACACTGCCCTTCCTGGTTGTCGCCGTTTTCTCTACGATGAGGTTGACCGTGCTCCTACAGCCAGAAAAGAAATCATTTTGGTGTGGCGCGAAAATTATGGATATAGCGGAAAGAGTAGATATAACAGAAAAAAAATTAAGAAGGAAAATAAGAAAACCATTATTATTATTATCATTATTATTATTATATTATCATTATTATTATTAATATTATTATTATTATTATTATTATTATTGCGAAAGTAGGATGCCAAAAAATTGACGATGGGGCACAAATATAAAAGACCAATATATCCATCAGGACAACAAGTCAAAAGCTGAAATTACTCCATGATAAGCGGGCTACACACTCAATGAAGTTCCTTGCCTTAAACGCCTAGGCATCAAGTAGAACTCATCATATACGATCGAACGCTCAAGATGCTGAAAAAAGCCCGGTTTGAAATACCTTCAGGTTCAAGTTCCACTCCAGACATCAGTGTTTGCAAAGACAAGCAACGCAAACTTCTGAAACGATGTGATTAAGCTTTATCCAGATTTTCTCATTGACCTTTAAAAACAAACGTTAAACATTTCTGGAATGAGGTTTTATCATTATTTACATCAATTGCAATCTCCTAATCTTTATTTACACTGTTTACAATGTTTGGATAATTGTCCTCATCCCTATTGTCATATTCACGGCGTTTCGGCTGTTGTACGCTCCTGCATTCTTCCGGTGATATACGTTGGAATTTCTCAGAAATATAGACAGATGTTCTAATCTTTTTTTATTAGCGCAACGTTTCGGCTGTTGTACACTTCGGCCTTCCTCAAATGTCTGTCGATCGGGTTAACTGTCAGGGAATTTCGAAATGGATCATTCATTTAGCCGGTGGTAAAATAACCTAAAGGATAAAAGTTTTCCTCCGTTAATTCGGTGAAATAGTAATTGTGAGTTCAAGCCCGGGCCCGGGTAATACAGATTCAGACTACATGGAAATAAGTCTAGCGATAATTGACGAGATATCATCGGAACAACATCAAGTAGAAACCATATATACAATTCATCGTTAAGGATGCTGAAAAAGCCCAGTTAGAAATACCTTCAGGTTTAAGTTCACCTCAGACATCAAGTGGAACTCAAACGACCTATCGTTAAAGATGACGAAAAAGCCCAGTTAGAAATATCTTCAGGTTTAAGTTCACCTCAGACATCAAGTGGAACTCAGATAAACGACCTATCGTTAAGGATGACGAAAAAACCCACTTAGAAATACCTTCAGGTTTAAGTTCACCTCAGACATCAAGTGGAACTCAGATAAACGACCTATCGTTAAAGATGACGAAAAAACCCACTTAGAAATACCTTCAGGTTTAAGTTCACCTCAGACATCAAGTGGAAGTCAGATAAACGACCTATCGTTAAAGATGACGAAAAAAACCACTTAGAAAAATAATCTTCAGGTTTAAGTTCACCTCAGACATCAAGTGGAACTCAGATAAACGACCTATCGTTAAAGATGACGAAAAAACCCACTTAGAAATACCTTCAGGTTTAAGTTCACCCCAGACATCAAATAGAACACATCATATACGACCTATCGTTAAAGATGCTAAAAAAAAGTTCAAGTTCACCCCAGACATAAAGTAGAAATCGTATGATCTCAGACCTGACACTTTCTAACATATTCTCTGTGCGACAGTCAGATCAATCCAAAAATTGAGTATTGCTACCATATCTAGGCTGGAGCTGCCCAGTTCTCTTTTTGCAGCCTTAAGTTCAAAATCGTTTAATCAAACTTCTGGGTGATGAACCCTACAGTCTATTTCTCGTAAACGAAACGCCTCACGCCTAGCGCTGGTCTATAGCTATTTCCATGGCAAATACACAGATGAGCTACATTTGTTAGTTCCACCACTTCAGATCCTCACAGCTAAGACTTGCCATTCCATTGGTAAGAATAAAGTTCTAAACTGAGAGCTTCTTCCCAAGAAACGCAAACTTGTGGAACAGACTCCCGAGAATAAGTTCTTCCAGTCACTGCGATCTTAACCTCGAGTCAACTGTTATCTAGCCTATATATCCTCATAATCTGCACTTCCTAACACCATTCAGCACCCCTTTACCTTGAGTGTCTTCTGGGCGTTGTATTGGGTGATTATTTTAGAAAAATATTTTCATGATCTACAAATACAGGTAGCGATGGATAAAATGCCGTCTACATTACGCAAAAAGGAAAATATAAACTGATATCTCATTTTAACAGATATATTGATGGAAATTACAGAAAAAACTTGAAATACTAAATTTAATACTAAATTTATTTATAAAATCGCCATTGGCTCCAACCACCACCTCCACCACTCATGGCCTTCAATTCATCTTTGGTGTTACAAGGAATATATATATATATATATATATATATATATATATATATATATATATATATCAACTGCGACCCAGACATAATAATCTAGTGGGTTGCAGTCTGGGGAGTTAGGTGGCCAGATTTAAGGAGTGATGTGATCGCAGAAATTGTCTGACAGCCATGACTGGGATCTCTTGCATGTGTGGCATGGTGCAATGTCCTGTTGCCAGATATAGGGTCCTCCAGCAGCCACCCTCTTGACCCAAGACAGCACTACTTCCTCAAGGCACTTGATCTAACCCTCTTTGTTGAGGCTGAGCCTCTTTGTGGGAAGATGAATGGAGGCATAACGTCGCCATCTCTAGTGATCACTCCAAACGCCATGATGTTGACTGGATATATCATCCATCTATTTCCGAATGCTTTGCACTGTCCTCAGATAGACATCCAAACACTCTGAACTGTTCGAATTAGAGCTTCCGGTGCGAATGCCAAGCAGTACAGCATGCCGTTTTCAAATTTACGGCAGAGTGAATTGCTTCATGATGCTCTTTTTTCTCACAGACGGTGCCCAACTGACCCGACTATACTCTGCATTCGTCAAAAACAAAATGCGCATGTGCATGTGCAAAATTAAAAATAAGAAATGGCGACAATTTACCCATCGCACCCTGTATTGTCACTCTCCGGCAAGGTCTATATATTTTACAGCTCTTTCTTTTCTTTCTTTTCTTGTTCTTCTTCGGGGTCTGCTCGATAGATACAATCTGATCTGTGATTTCTTATTGCCGATGACGCGTTGTTCATTTGATTCAGACTGGGTGATCCGTTTGGACTTCTACGTCCGACAGATTACCTTTTATTCCCTTAAACAGATTCTGGTTTTTGTGTGTATACCACTGTATTGTATGATAAAATCCTACTTATTTGACCAGTTCTCAGTGGACCACCTTTCCTGCCCAGTCATGATGATATTTGCACTCTTTTTTTTTAACTCAGCTTGCTACATTTTCTTATTATGTGACAATCTCATATGTATCCGCGCATTCACTATTTTCATGAGCTTTTTTTATTTGTCCATTAGTGCAATTTTTCCGCCTATCAATTTTTGGTTGTTATTTAATAGGGATTCAGTTTATATCTATAATTCCTCTCTCTCTCTCTCTTTCTCTCTCTCTCTCTCTCTCTCTCTCTCTCCACTTCTCTACTTCCTCTCTCTCACTTTATCTATCTATATATATATATATATATATATC